CCGCGACATGGCGGCGCAGAACCCGCCTCCCCCCGCCTCTCATTGGGGGAGGGACACGCCCGTCACCCGCCGCCCCCACCCGATAGGGGGAGCCACTGTTCCCGTTGCGGGGGGAGAAAGCCTCCGAATACCTTGAGCCCCTATTGGACAAAGCCTACTCCTTTCTGCAGGAGGGCCCGCCCTCATTTGTTTGGGACACTCGTTATAGGCGAGCGCTTTATGCCAGTCTTTTTACTGACCGGCTGCTCCAATTTGATAGGTCAGAGTTCTGGCGCCGCTTCCCCACACTCCTGAAAAACCCCACCTCCTTCCCACTTTCATTGGCCTTTTGCTAATCCATCAAACCGGAAGCCCTTAGTCTTCCAGTCACAACGACTACCTTCCCGCGCCACTTGGCAAAGACAAGGAAGTCCCTCCCTTTTGCCTCTCCAGTGGTTACTGCAGATGCCCATCTCTGTGTCTCCCTCACTAGGCGGTAGGACCATTGGTGGTCTCCCATTGGGTGAAAAAAGAGAGCCCACCCGGTAGACGCTCTTAGGCCCAGTCCGGGAGTCCGGGAAATGATCGGAGCTGCGAACGCATGCGCGAATACGCTTTTCGGGCGCCTCGGGAGGCGAGGCGACCTCGAGAGGAGCGAAGGCCTGGAGTACCCCGTGTTGAGTGACTGCTGCGTGCCACGCCGGAAGGCCAGACCTGACCGAGGGGAAACTGCCAGTGCAGTTCTGTCCCCGTCACTATTCCTATTCCTCTCCGCCTTAAACCTTCACAATGCCGGAAGGCTTTTTTTTTTTTTTAACTCAAATGTGTCCCTTTCTGGCAGTATGAAACCTTTCAGACCCTGTCCAGTTCGCTGGCGTCGTTTCACCACTCCACCTCTAAATTCAAGCACAGGGACTCCTTCCAGTTGGGAGGCACCGGCCGTGCACCTCTGGATCTGCAGGAGCGGTCCGTTCCCTGAAAAGCTTTCCTCGCCCCCACCAGTCCAGAACCCCGGCGCATCCCTCATGATGACCTTGGTCACCGGCTAATGTGCTCACGGGACTGCCAGGCCCCTCTAGGGCCTCATGGTCAGGTGACTGTCTCTTCCATGGGCACGGAGGTCCCTGCC